TATGCATACCAAGTATTTCTCCTACACACAAACTTTTATGCTCCCAGAGCATTTCACAATGCAGACACACCAAATCATCCTAGAGAGCAGACTCATTTTAATCAATTACGAAAGCTTATTTTTTCCCAGAATGGGAAATACCTGCAAATGAAGTGAAATCTATTAAAATGTTAAAATACACTGCCAACTTGGAAACAATTATCTACTTAAGCTTTTCATAAAGAAATAATTGCTACCCAAAAGGATTCTGAAATTCAGTAACTGTAGGAAGAAAATAATTCTTAGTATTTGTTTCCTCACTAATGATATGTGACAACCAGGAAGGCTTCTATTTCAAAAGCAATAATAATGATTACAACTTCCTCTGTAAACAAGTCACATTTTTCACAACTTAAAATGTACTTCAATTATTATAACATTTAACAATAAAGCAACAAAAGTGGCCATCCAACAAGCGATCATAATTTTAAGGGTTCAACAAGGCTAAAGGAAACTAGTCCTTTTTCGGATAGCAATGAGGTTTCTGGGCTCTCCTTAACACTCCAAAACATGTTTAATAAAGAGTACAGAGTGCGTCTGAAAATCAGTTAGGCTGACTCATTTTAAACTCTAATCTGTTATATACATGACAACAGTTACTATCTCTTGAGATCTTTAAATGTCTTGGTGTGTTGTGACCTCTCTCTTCAAAACTCTTTCCTGCCTCACAAAAAGGCCAATCCCACCCCAATCCCCCCACTCCCACCACCACCACCACCCCCTTCCTTTTTTCCCCTTCAGACAGGACACAGTCTGGCAACTCAAGGCCCCCCATAGACCAGACTTCCTTCTGTGCAGCCCTTTGGGTAGAACTGCTAATCCTTCTTATTAATTAACGAGATAACAGTGGTTAACTGAAAAGCAATATTAATGCTAACTATCTAGGAAACTTTAACCAAAATTATTTTAGCCTTTTGACTGATTTTTCCAGTGTACAGAATTATGCACTGAGAATTTTGTAACATTGTGATGCAGAATTGAGAAATTCCAGAATGGCTGATTTACATCAGACCTTAACACATAGGTCTCTTCTTTAAAGTTGTCTCTCTCTCTTTTTAAACATGTATTCTGTTATACATTTCTAACTAGAGAGGAAAAACTAGGGCCTCTCAAATATTACTATAAAATTTGCAAGAGTGGAAAGTGAAGGAACTAGAAATTGTATAAGAAATAAACAATGATGTGACTGAGAGCAACAGTCAGTCATAATGAATGCATTACATATCATTATGTTAGGTTTGTCTTCCACACACTTGTCGTAGTACACTCTGCATCCTATAGGACACTTATATCCAAGGAAGGTGTGCTGTGCAAGGCTTGCCTGGTTTTTGTTTGGTTTTATTTTGCTTTGCTTTCATGAATGCAAATAACAAAGACAATATGGGGAATAGGTACCACCTGCCCAAGAATCATTGGACATCTTTAATATCTTTGGGAAAATTGATATCATTTAGAGCTATTTTTCCTTAAATCTGTCACAATTTTTTCTGGCAAAACCTAAAAAAAGGAAGAGTTTTATATTAGCTAAGGTTTGCTGCAGCAAACAAGCAAGCAGCTTTCATTCAGGGATTGTCAAAAACTTTCCAGTGTGCCCACTGCAATGCGGATGCCAACCAACGAATCAAAGGCATTCAGCAACCAGACAAAGAGGGTCTGATGCCAACCTCGGTGCCACTGGCAACCATTATTGGCATCAAACACAGTGTCTGCCTTTTTTTTCCCCCTCGCCTGGCACTTCACAAACAAAATGGCGGTTCTTGTAGCAACGAAACAGCCGAAGCGCAGCCCTCTGAGTCAATAACATCAAATGATTTTTATGGATTTAAACGCAGTTACTCCCAAATGATGTGTACATTTTAGGTGAAGTGCAGGGGAACATTTAATTTTATAAACAACTATATTGAACATTACCCTTTGCTAGTATAAGGAAATAGCAAAATGGACTGAACTGCGGTCAACCAGACTATATGCATAGAAGCCGAATAACAAAGAGATTTAGCTTTAAAGAAAATACTGCCTTGTGGCCATGTGATGCAAAAGTCTAATGAACTATATATCAAAATATGATTTCAAAAAGCATAAATTTTTCCCCAAACCATATCAGATGCAGATGTAACACTACAGCTTGTGTCAAAGCTCTAGTAACTCTTTCTACATTTCAGAAAGATGAGGCTGCTGGGCATGAAGAAGGAAAAAAAGTGTGGGTTGAACCAAAAGAGAAAGAGGTAAAAAGAAATGCATAGGAAGTTGGTCAACAATGAAACTTTACTATATGTTGGTCTTTATTTCATCTTCCAGAAGAGATGCAGTATGTGATCTTGTATAAATAACCAAGAGGACTATTGACATTTCTAGATCTGGAAATTGTCAATATATTGTAACATCACTCCACACTGCAATGCGGATGCCAACTAACAAATCACAGGCATCCTGAGCTAAACAAAGAGGGTCTGATGCCAATCCTGGTGCCAGTGGCAACCATCTTTGGCATTCTCTGTTCTTTCTCATGTTTTTCTCCCAGTCAGTTAGAAGTGGGGAGAAAGAAAAAGGGGGAAACGTAATTTTGTTGCTCTTTCTGTTACAAACATTACATTTCTCTTTTCTGATTTTTCTTTCATATTTTCCTTTATACTTCTTTACCTGATTTATAAAACACACTTAGGTGGATTATCATGTACTTAGAAGAGAAATAAAAAGTCATGACTCTCAAGCTGCAGCCCTCTGCCTAGAGAATTATCTTTTAAAATCCACCTTCTTTAATCAATTGTACTACAAAACCTACACTTGACAAAGAAATTAACCTACACTTGACAAAGAATTAACCTACACTTGACAAAGAAAAATATATAAATTTTGAAAAAGGAAAGACACGAAAGCATCCTGACAAGAGTTTTTCAAAAGAAGAACCAACAGATGATAAGAGAAGATGATGCACTGGCAGGTAGCAGAGGATACAAGTTAGATGAACAAGATAAAATAATGTAAAGTTCTCAGAACAGAGATCGTTTCACCACCAACAACAAAATCAGTGTTTTATGCAAAAACATGGTTTCTAAGGGTTGCTTAAAACTTTATGATTATCATGACCAGTGGTGCAACATGGAAGGCATTTATGTATTTTTTTTCTTCTTTCAATCTATCTTTATGAATCTTTATCGTCAGTTCATGAAAACTAAGAGTTAGCTGCCTGCCCCAGGAGTAAATGTGCATGTGGGCAGGTGCACCTCAAAACCTAGCCTTCTAGCAACTTAAAAAGTGAGCAGTAAGGAAGTGCTTGCAAATCTTCTCTCTCTGCACTAAAAAGTTACATGATCCACTTTTTGAAACTTTACTTTCTTGACTTTCACAACACAGTTATAACACATTTATAGTCGATCCAACACATATATACAGCCCACCTTAAAGTGTCACCTCCCTGACAGCTGTCAATCAAATTAAGTGTCATGTGTTAATGAGTTTTATTTAAGGACACATGGGACAAAAATATTATTTTCCCCAAACCATCATTATTTGGACTGTAATTCTTAAATGCATGGAAATATGAAATGCAATGTTTCATTTTTTCAAGAGAATGCAGTATTGCTAAATGTGCAATATCCAACACCATTATTTACAATCAGACTAAAAATCCTAAAATGACATTTAAGCAGATCTCCAAAACTATATCAAGAAAATTAAGACAAAAAGCACATAATGGGTACCTAGATTTCAGAGTCAAAAAATTAATTTTGATTTTTTGAATGATAATAAAGTCATAGGAATTTATTAAGCCCCACATTTATATAACATCAGATAACCGTCTGTAACCTGGCTATCTGCAGGCCATTTTTCCTCCCACCAGGCCAAGTTTGGAAAATGCCCACCATCTGTGACATCTCAAACTTCAGTCTACTTTTGGTATGCTGCTTTGTAAAATGTTTTTTACTATGGACTGTTGCTAATGCAAGGACATCTATATCTTGATGCACTTATTTGAAGAAAATACATTCTCACCTACTTAAGGAAAATATATTAAGACAAATAAAAACAATAAACATATTTCATTAATTCAAGTATTCAGTAATAACATCATCTTTTTAAATTAATTATTTAGGCAACATCTATACCACTCTCCTTATCGGGTATTTTAAATAATAGGTATGGTATGAGGTTTCTGCATTCTTTTTGAGATTTATTTTAAACCAGTGTAACCAGTCCACTTTCTGTTTTTATTCTGTAAGGAGTGCTGTGACTTCCCTCCTCAGTAAGTTTTATGAATTTACATACAAGTAAACTAACATTAGTAAGTTTTCCCAAGTAACTCTGGGAAAATATTATAAATAATTTAAATAACTCAATTCTACTTAATCTACAGTGAATATTGCACAATCAAAAGTAGGTGTTGATAGCAATATGAAAATTAAGTAAATATAGGTCTAAGTAAGATATGCTTTTGATACTAACTTTTTAAAGCATTTTGTAATAGTAAATGTTAGTTCTATTTTCAGTGCTAAACACTAAATTCAAAAAACAAAGTCCTTCTACCTCATTAATTAAAAAGGTTAATACAAAAATTATTTAGGATGGTTTGACTATTCATAAAGTTACATTTTCAAATCAGGAAAAGATTACAAGACTAGGTGCAAAAATGTAGACTAGGAAGGAAAGTGAAGTGTAATGAACTATATTTGTTAGACTACCCTATGTCTTTGAAAAAGAATATCATTTTAAAGACACTTGAAAACGCATCTCTTTGTGGTCTTAAATATCCAAGCCTATCCAGGTATGAAAGCTCCGTGTCTATTTACATGGTTCGCACATGGCAGCGGATATGTGAGTGAAAGTGGACACCCCACTGTACCCAGAGAGGATGGAGGATATCTAGGGGCCTTGAGGACCATCTAACCCAAGCCAGATACTCTGTCTATGGCAATTTGTGGGCAGTGTTTGCCGTGCTAGAAAAAAGAACAATCTGTTCCTACCTTGCTCCTGCACGTAGTATGCCAAAAACAAATCAAGCTCCTTAACTGATACTGTGATATGATGTGGCTGGACACAAAGTGCTGGGTTTGTGCAATGTGGGGATTTCATGAGCCGCTCTCCATCGGTACTTTCCAAGGGGATGCCTTTGAACAGGATCACCATGACTAGATCCAGACGCCAGACTTTGTCTGCCTGTCGCAGGCAGTCGATTCTCCTAATCTTACCCTTCTGGTCGGGATTGGATAAGACACAGCACGGGTGCTTCTTGCCAGTCACGGTGAGCACAAAGTCCTCTCGATACTCCTGGCGGATATCTTTGCGCAGTTTGGCCAGGAGCCTGGATGCCCACTTCTGTTTGATTTCAGGCTTTTCACTGAGAAGCTCATCTTTGACTGCTCTTTCTTCATCCTTTGACATTCGCTTCTCATGCTTTTTAAAGTACTTGCGTTTTCGAGCCTGCAGGTTGAACCAAGTATAGGCAATTGCACGGACGTGTGGAAGAAGTGCCTCGATGAATGGGTGAAATTCATCCTGTGGAAGATGGGTGGGGGGGTGAGGAAAAGATGTGCATAGTCAGTTTAATTTTAAAAGCTCAAAAAATAAGAACACAATCCGTTTCCAATTCAGTACAAAAAGTTATGCATGAAAATCACATTCCTTTCTTATTTAAAATTATCAAAATAACAGGACAAGAAGAAAGTAAAGTATGCCCAGCTGTCCCCTTTCCACCAAAATTCACAGGTCAATTCTCCCTCCTATAAAGAAAATAAGGTTTATATTTTGTATTTACACTCTGGCCCCATCCCCCTTATTCCAACCCCAATGCCATGCATTCTACATTCTTTAAAATATATGCAACTAACTAAGGTGCTTGGCACCTAATATAATATTTCAATATTTGATTCAACAACTAACACTATGCAGTACCATTTTACAAACAACACAGTGAGATTTTTTTTTTAATTGAAGCAGAGCTGTTCAGAAGGCAGGAGCGATGCCACAGTTCATTTCTCTTCTCTGTGGCACAGAAACACAAAGCATATAGATGCTCAGTGTAATGCCACACAGTTCCCGCTTTTGGAGCATGCTCTCAGCAAGAGGCTGCTGGTGGCACAAAGAGCATGCGCCATTAAACTTGATCCATTTTCTTATCAAACGTCCAACATTCCAACACTGAAACAGCACCATTCCAAGAGTGGTAACTAGAGAAACCGGTATACAGTAAGGGAAAGTGGGCAAAGGACACAGCTCGTCGTATCAGTGTCCTGAACAGAAGGTTTCCATACTTTGAGCAGTGCATTCTCTCCCCACACTACCAACACCAGCTCCCAACACACACACACACACACACACACACACTTGCACTCTCATGCTATCTCACACACACTTGTGTTTTTTAATAGTTTTCAAACTTGAAAACAAAAATTATATAAATGTTCTTCCAGCAGCTTTCCGATAGAATATGAAGCCCTACAGAGTCTGTTAATTTGTTAACCGATCACATGAGTATGTCAATTATTCTAAACCTCTTAAAAATCAATCTGAGGTGAACAATGAAAAATGGCAACTTGGCACCAACTTTATATTCTTTGTGTCTCCGCATGCTATGGTAGGGTGACACCAGGAGTGCGCTGCTGATCAGTTACTGCTTTTGTGGCTTCTATACAATTCATTTGCCACGTAGATGAATTCTCAGACAGAACTGTGGGTGCATATACACATGTGCTTGTGAATTTGCAGGTACACAGATTATATAGTACCTGTCTTTTGAATTAAGTAGTTTACCTGAGGGCTCCTGCATTTTTCCTGCCTGTTTCATCCAGCCTTTTTTTTTTAAGCGAGGGGAGCAGTGAGGAATGGCAGATAATCTTTACCTACAGATATTTCAAGTTACTTCCCAGTGCAGTCACTTTCATTACTTCCTGATTTAGGTAAAACCTGTCTTATAAGCTTAGGCCTATTACTGTTCAAAGAGAAAGAGCTTAACGTCCTGTGCATGCACACTGTATGTATGCAATAAGCCAAGCTTGAAGCAAATGAGAACTTCCACCACCACTTTTCTGATCACATTGACTATATTGTTCAGCGCAACTACAAAATAACTCTCTCAGATTGTATCCCAAGTTAGAATTTACATACTCATGCTAATCACCCTGAACTATGAGAAATAAATTCTATTTAACCAGCAGACTGACTAATTCCATTAGGTAAATATGATGAAAGTACGACTAATGACTCTATAACAAAGAAGGTGTCAAAAAACATCGATTATAGATATGAATGCCTTTTTAAGAAGAAATTCAAAGTTTTAATGCTATACACTGCAACATGTACTTCAGATATGGAAAAAGTACATGTCCCATCCAATCAATAATGTAGTTATCAAGTGTTCTAACATTGCTATAAGTGTTCCTACACCAGAATAAGTATGAATCAAAATTTTATAACAATACAGAATGCTGATGATTACATCACAGCATGAGGCATAACCAAATGCCATAGAGGAAATCATTAAACCGATCAGTAGTTTCCAGCAGAGATTTGAACAATTCAGTTACTATGTGAGCACATTAAACTAGGCCATGGAAAGAGTTAAACCACAATCTGTTCTTTGTGTGGGAAGGCAGCCCTGCTCACAGCAACCACATCCCATGATAAGACCTCCCTATCTCCATACACTTTCTGATGCCATGCTTTTAGCTTTCACTGTAACTACAAAAACTTTGTTTATCCCCTTTAGGAATATATGCAAAAGGAAAGCCTGCTTAAGGAAATGTGGACTTAAATGTGCTTTGGTAACTCACTTCCTATAATCTCTTACTATGATTTATTGATATGACTAAAAAACACACATATACACACTCATAAACTAAAACCTTGAGAATGCAAAGAGCACATGAGGTACAGTGGGTGGGCTTTGTCTCGCTCACTTTACCCTTGCCATGCTTTTTAAAATGCAATATAATTTTACAAATATTAAGCCATGTGGTAACACGTAAATACTTACGTCCTTAAGTACTATGTTCAGTGACATTCCATTTTCTTATAAAGACATAAAACACAATTTTGATTAAATTTGTTTGAGTTTCAATATTTGACTATAAACATAATCTATCATGCAAGAAAGCTCAAAATTTTAATGAGTTATTTTAAACCAAATCCAAATTTGAAGGTTGAATCTGAAAATTCTTAGCAAATGCACACAAAACATAGTTTTTAAACATTCCTTTGAGTTTGCTGTCAATGCTGCCAAATATTGTTTTAAAACATGCTTTTTTTCATTGATAAATAGAAGCAGCAAACTTTCTCAGGCTGCCAATTTGCCTTATTGATATCGTTCAGGTTTTCACTGTCATGTGAATTCCTTTCAGGTGAAGCATTTATTTGACAAGGGGACATATCTTCCAAAAATGACTATAAGTTGAGGTTTGCTCTAAGTCACATATATTTCTGTATTAATATGCCTAAATGTCATCTCCCAAGTGTGACTGTTTCCTAATGATGAGCAGTAGCACTATATTCTTACAGATTATTAGTAACATGAATATGGAACATGGTAACTGCCCTGATACAAAAATATTTTTAAAAAGGTGATTAAGGTTTCCAAATATCCTAACTAGTAGTGGATCATTACAATAACATTAAGCAACTACAAAAGATTTTTTTTTTAAAGTATAACATATAAAGAATTTAAAATCAAACAGCTGTATACAAAGGTAATAAGCAACTTTGCTCTTTCAGAATTTTTATTAAAATGTATTGGTGCTCAGTTCTCTTTTAAAACTTCCTTCAATTGAACTAAATTGACAAAGTAAATAACCAAGTTACAAATTTCAGATAAAAAAGTAAAGAGTGTTAATTTCAGTAGGCATATTTATTTTTCTTCCGTTTCCATGAAAGGGATGGATAATTAGACCAATATAGAGGTAGGAGAGTAAATACTAGGTGTTCTTGGAGCATTGCTATGTAACAATAAACCATGCCAAATTATGTACCTAAAGAACTTAAAAGGAATGAAAGAAAAATAGATGTAATGCCATCATGCCAATTGAAAGTTACATTATTAATAGTTTATGTTATTTTAAAACAAATATTAAATCATATATGATAGGGCTTAATTTTTCATTTATATCTGATTTTTACTGGTATATAAATATTGATTATTGATGTGCTGACTCTGTAGCATATCATTTTACTAAATATAACATTTACTGGTAAGTCCTTTTAAATTAAGATTTTTTTTTCCCTAAAACCTAGATGCCTTATTACATAATTGAGATACTTTTAAAGCTTATAATAAATGAAGAATGATACTCTGTTTTGCAATTTACATGTCCTGAACCATGTTTTGCTACAGCTACTAGGCTCTTGTGATACATAACTATTGATCTAATACAAAAGTAACACTATTAATGCAGCCTCACTTTTATAACACCTACATTACCTGCAAAGTCACATGGAGCTTAGTGAAGTGAGAATTCTTAAGCTAAAATTCCTTCCCTGGTACAGGCCTTGTTTTTATACATAAGCCTAGATTTGTATTATTAAAATAGTAGAAAATATTCGTCATCACAAGTTATTGTTGGTAAGTATGTATCTTTGAATACTAATGTGATAGCTGAATGATTATGCTGTATATGCTCCCAACATTCCATATGTCTCAATGCCGCAATATTATTTTTAACTTACACAAATTAAGGTACAACTAGTGATTTTTCAATACATATTTGGAGGAAACTAAAAATGCAATGTAATTGCTAGCAATGTTTCTGAAAAGCTGACGCTAGAAATAGAAATACAGAGAAATGCACAATTATTCAGTCTTTTACAGGTGAGAATAAGTGATGCTATACTCTGTAAGTGAAAATCTTGCTTTGACTTGTTTTATTTGTTCACGGTGTAAAAATAATATCAAGTGAACATAGCTTATCAGAAAGAGAGAAAAATATACCCAGTTGATGGGTCATATTAATGGTAACTTTACCACTAAAGGCAATTCGTTATACTTGAAATAGCTTTATCATATTTATTGGCTATTATCATTCATGGCTTTTAAAATACAAATAGCTCAGCAACTCATTTTTACAGTTTTGTTAAAAGTGAATGTTTACTTGCTGAAAATAGCCATATCTAAGTTAATCATACTCAGATGCCAAACAAAATATAAACAATAAAAAATGTGTCAGCCAAAAAGCTACAGGACTGTATCCAATCACTGAATAAGCCTTATCATTGTTTTCATCTTCATTCACAATTTATGAATGCCTCAGTCCTTTTGAATCACAATGGCTTCTAATAGTCACACAATTGAAATCTTAATTATTTGTTCATTATAAAAATGCATCATCATGATATTAGATATTTTCAAAATTTGAACACACCCAAGACTGGCTGACACTTCTTTAACTGATTAGTTTTTATGTCAGTGTCAAAGAAAATGGTTATCAATTACCAAAGGTGACACATCTTCCTAAAAGCTTAAGTAAGCTGCCCTGTGCCTTTAGAGGTTGAAAATACTGCATCAAATAACAGTTCTGGGCTAAGATATTTTAGTTACTTTGTCAGCTGTTAGTTCCCTGGGCAGCAATGAAAACTGCCCTCAGGTAAATCTGTTCGTTCTCACCACTTTTCTATTTGACCATCTGGCTTAAAGTGATACAAATCGTGTTTTTAAAAAGTATAAAGCCAGTGTTTTATTTCGCAACATTATTCCTAAGGTCTTAGGACAATTCTCAAAGTAGGGGGAAAAAACGACCTTACTTTTCCAGCATTCCATAAAATGCCTTACGAGCTAGCTACGCCCAAATATCGTCAAACGAACAGGTTTCCACAAAATGAACACTTTCTAAAACTCCTAAACAATCACCAGGACCAACTAAAGACTGCCATTGTGGTGCGGTCACTGGAAACCCCAAAGTGCAGCGGGTCACTGTGTACCAGGGTTTCAGATCCCCAAATCAAGCAAAGGAATGGGTCCCCGGACCACAACCTCCGACTTGCTTCGTCGCCCGCCCACCGCCTGCAGCGGAGTCCAGCAGCGCCCACACAGACTCGTGCTACAGTCCCCTCGCCCAAGTTCACCGGCTGTTTTTAAAAGCTTAGTCTCCCTAAAGTCCTCCAAAACCCGAGTCCGCCTCGAGCTGGAAAGGGGGCTGCGGGAACCTTGGCTGGGATGCCGCAACGGGCACTTGGGGGGCCGCACGGGGCCTCGCACTTACGAGTCCCGGCCCTGCCCACCCCCGGCGGCCTTGCCCGGCCCAGCGCCCGCTCTCCATGCCCAGGGCGCGGGGCTGGGCGCTCGCGGTGGCCGTGGGCTAGGGGCCGCTCTCCGGCTCCCACGCCACCCCGCGACGCCTGCTCCAACTCTGAGCCACTTCTCCAAGGGACGGGGATGTGCTGAGGTTAACTCAAGCCGTTAATTGTCAGCAACAAAACAAAACAAAGGCATTTCGGGCCGAGAGAAAGCTCGAGAAAGCGACCGAGACATGTACCTGAGTGAGACAGATGGGAGAATACATCATGACTTCGCCTTAAAACGCACTTTCCCGGAGATGCCCACGAAAATCTTCGAGAAGCAAGAATTTCATCTATTCATTTTACAGTCATCTGAGCCCGCGATGCGATCAATCAGGACGGGGCTCTGCGCTGGATCACCGCAACTTCACAACAAACCCAGTCCTCCTTAAATAGCCAAAGATTCAAGTTCACTCCGCGTGCTAGATTTCCCGGGGTGAAATCCAATCTACACTTTTAACCCTCTTGCAGTCCGAGCGCGCTGGCCGTGCTTGCCGAGGCCACCGCCGCCACCGGTGTTGGCTGCTTTTCGCCTGGGTTTGGGGATTTGTTTTCTGTTTTGCAGTTGTTGTTGTTGTTGGGGGTTCGGGGGTGCACGAAGGTTCGGCGTGAGTTGGATTGGGGTGATGGTTGATGGTGAAATGCTTTTTCAAAAAAGGCGGGGAGGGGGGCGCAGGAGGGCGGGCGGGCGGGAGGGAGAGCGGGGAGAATGTGTCACCGCGCTGGGAAAGTTCAAGGTTACAGCCCCAAGCACTGCGGCAGGATCCCCGAGTGGTGATCGCTGGCGAAACTTTGCCGCGAGCCGACCATGTGTGTGCGCGAGGGACAGCGCGAGCGAGTGCGCGCGGGTGGCGGGGCGCGCGCGGGAGAGGGCAGGGGTGGGGTGGGGAAGAAGGGAGAGGCCGGGGTGAGGGAGGGGGCGCGAGCGCTGATCTCCCAGGCGGAAGAGGTTCGCGGCGCGTGGTCCCCGGCTGCAGCCGCCGCCGCCCGCCCCGGGTCTTCGGCGCCCGGCCGCCCACCCGCCCGCCTCGCCCCGCGTCTGACCCGGCCGAGCGTAGAGGCTGCTGTTGCCGCCGCTGCCCAGAGCCCAGGGGGATCGAAATGATATCCTGAAAAATTCCAAACGATAAATCCCGCTCTCCCGCTCGGCTCCAAACTCCTCTCTTTTCTGCTCTGGGCTTTTTTTTTTTTTTTTTCCCTCCCTCTCTTGCTTTCTTTCGTTGCAAAACTTGGAAGTTGAAAAATTCACCGGTTCCACCCTCTGGACCCCGCTCGAGCTCTCTCCAAATCAGACTTAAGGATTGTTTTATTATTTAATTACACAATCATCGCTTTACTCCTCCTCCTGCAAACGCGCATTCCTTTTGCACCAGCCTCTCCACACCCCCCGCCCCCCACCTTCCTCCTCCTCCTTCTCCTTCTCCTTCTCTCCCCCCACCTCTCCCTCATTTGTTAAAGGTATCCTACCGGTGCCACAGAACCATGACTTTTTTTTTTTTCCAAAATAGCTCTTCTCTTCTTTCCGCTGCCCTCCCCACACCAGCACACACAAACACACCCCCGAAAACCCGCCCTGGAAGAGGTATTTCGGTGCTCGCTGTGGACTCTTTAAGCCGCGGGAACATCCGAGTGGGAGAAGCACTGAACCGGTCTGAGCCCGAGAAAGGAACAAGCGGAAAATTCCCTCACACCCAGGCCGCCCCCGGGCCGGGGCTGGGGTGCAGACACTCGCACCCGGGGCGGGCGCTGTCCGCGGAGCGCGAGGCTGCAGGGAGGAGGGGAAGGCCAAGCAGGCGGGGGGCCTGAGCGAACTTGGGCTGAAGTAGTTGGGGAGCCCCGGCACGGACCTGGGGGACTTGGCGCCCAGCCCCCGATGGCCTCGCCGGGAGCCCGAGTTCGCGGGTAGGGAGAGGGTAAGGGGTCCTCCGAGGTCTCCCCACCGCGGGCCCGCGCCAGGAGCAGTCGCGGCGCGCGGCGCTTCGCTTCGGTTTGCCGCCCTCCGCGGGGGTGCCCAGTGCACGTGGCCTCACTCGGAGCGGGAGGACCGGACCGAGCAGCCGCCGCCTCCTGCTCCCTCCTCCTCCCCGCGCCCGGCTCCGCTTTCCTCCTCCTGCAGCCCCTCTGGCTGGCTCCCAATCCCCACCCCCCGGGGCCCGGGGCGCCGGCGGAAAGCGTCTCCCTACCCGCCCGGGTGCAGGCGGGGCGAGGCCGCGGCGCGCCCGGGGCTGCGGAGCCGGCAGGCAAGGGACGCGCGCGCGGTGGCGCGCGCGCGCGCGGGTTGCGTGTGCCGCTGCAGCCCTCCAGAGGCGGCCCGCCCGGAGCCGCTCGGCGCCCGCGCCCGCTCCCCACCGTGGCGCTGCCCCGCCCCCACCCCGCCGCCGGTGCAGGCTCCGAGTGAATGAACTTGATTCGGTGTTGAGGGAAGCGGTTCGCCTTGCACCCTTTCTACAACCCCCCACACCCATACTGCCCCCCAAATCCGGTTTTCTGCTTGGGGTGGGTGGGGAAGACGTGGAAGCAAAGGACGCCCAGACAATGGAGAGAGGAAAAGTGAGCGCCTGGGGCTCTGCGTCTACCTAACCAGGGGCTGCCCCCGGGTCTAGGGCTGCGGGGTCCTCCCGGGCCCATCCCCAGGGTGGGGCCGCCCCGCTTCCACCGGTACTGCTGGGGAGTTTCAAGGCTCGCCCCCGATTCGCCAGTCCCCGTTCCACCGCTGCCCAGCTCTTGATTTGTCCCCTCAACTATCGCCCCTCTCAGTCCCTCCCGCTTTTGCCCACCTTCCCCTCTTCCCTCCCCCAGCGGACCTGGAGGAACCAGTGACTTTTTCCTTCACCTAGTGGGAGTTATCCACATCAAGCATTTCACAACGACACATCAAGAAAAGTAGGCAGGTTCAAGTCAACCATGAAATGGTCACTTTTTAACCCCGTCCTGTCCTCATTAGGGAAATGCTCAAACACAGTCAGTTTTCAAAGAGCGCTCTTAATGAGGCAAGCTTGCCAAGTTTACCAGCTGCAGCCCCCGCAAACCCAGAGCCCAAAGAAGAAAGGCGCTGGCGGGCGGGGAGTTGAGGAGGCTGGGGAGGTGGGCTGCTGGGGTTGGAGAGACAGGTAAAGTCGGGGAAATCGCGCGGACCCCCGCGAGTTAACCCCTTCGGCCACACGCCCTGGGAGCGGCCTCCCTGCGGCCCCCGCCCCTGCCCCGGCAAATCCTCGCGTTAGCGTTCTGACAACGTTAATTTCCTTTGTGCGGGTCATTTCTTCTTTTTGAAAAGCTGTGATAAAGTTGACAGTCTTTATGGATGAAAGAAATGAGGTGACAGTCAGGGTTAATCCAAGTAAATACTCATATCTCTCAGAAATTTTAGGCAACCTCATCGTAGATTAAAACACACACACACACACAAAAACCACCGCAGCGAAAGCATCACTTTGTACTGCACATTATACTGCATCCCTTTTCTCACCCTCACCAGATTCTGAGGGGAGGGGGCGGGGACGCTCTACTGATAATACCAGCTTTAACTACTGGAGTTTCCCTTTGAACAAATATTCAATTTAACTGGAGTTAATTTACCATAAAAGACATTCCCCTTGGCAGGAATGCACTCATGTCCTTGAACACACCTCTTTGAAAGCCGGGACTCTCATAGAAGCCTTTATTTCGGGGTCTCTTTAAAAATCGAGCGCCCATCTCTCCTTCTCTCCCTCCCTCCCTTCTTCCCTCCCTCCTCACACCACCCCCAGTGAAATCCTGGCACCCAGAGAGCGCTCCTTTCAGCCTTAGAGCCCAGAACCAGCCGTTGTCCCCTAGCAAAAAGAGGCCCAGTGCTGAGCCCTGGGCTATAGTCTCCCGACATCGCTACCCCTCCTCCCTTTATAGTTTCCCTTCCCAACAGAAACCATTTCCTTCTTCCACCAAAACTAGGTTGCATCCAAAAGTTTTTCACAAGCTTAAAAAAGAAAAACGAAAAATTGACAAGCATTATACAGAAGAGCCCACAAACGCTGCAGCAGCTCCAGGGGTGAAGAAGCAGCGTCAGACCCAGGTAAGACCCCAGAGAAGTGAAGATGTCTGGGGCCTCCCAGGCCCATCACTTAGGGGTTCAAATCTCTTTCAAGTCCCCCACGTTTGAGGGTGCTTATGGCTGGTTGCACTTTGATGACCATGAAGGATGCTTGATAGTTTTTGGGTTTGATTTGTTTCCCAGAAAAAGGAAAATGAGATAGGAGTAATGGTGAGGCAAGGAAAACCAAAAAGGAGTGAAGAGTGAGCCAAAGACTTCCTGAAAGGGAAGGTCTACAGGGGTGCTCAATTTCTGTGGCTTTGACTATCTTTTCAGGCCTTGCAGCCATGGTGGAGAATGGCTGACACCCCCCAAAACACTGTTTCTTGTCAGCCAGTGCCAAGGTCATTGCAGGCCTTCCCAGGAAGAGCTCTAGGGAGTCCTTTGGAATGAGGGGCTGGTGGATTTCGGTGCATGGGATGCCTAGCTTCACTTAGCACAACACTTGTCCAACACCTTTGGTTTGAAAATCTCAATCTTTTAAATCCCAGGTAGAAGGAGGAACTGAGAAAGTGCATGCATTGTATTCACTTTCCCTTTTTTCCAGCACGTCAGTGTCATGGTATTGAGCGGTTTTAAAATACCTCTGAAAAGCTTCTGATAATATCAAAATGGGCCAGACACTTCTTAAACTTTGGTACTTACCACTCCTAAATTCTTCATCTCTCCCTCCCACACTGAATGTGTAAAAGCACTGGTGTGACAGGCCACTTTCATTTACCCCGAAACCTGGCTGATGAGGTAGAAAGAAGTGAATGATTCTCTTGGCAACAGGAAATTCTGATATTTCAGTATTCCTAAAGATCTCCTTTCTAGATCACCTATTCCTTGCTACCTTATAGGGAAAAATAAGTTTTCTTTCTAACAGAAAGTTTATTGATTTCTAAATACAATGCCAGTGCTTCACTTCACTGGATTTTTCAAAACCCAGTTGTATATTTGAAATAAGCAATGCTACCATATTTGAGTCTTTCACTACAGATGTCCAGACAGGAGCCTGACATCTCAAAAGTATCTAATATTGTTTTTCTATTAACCTTTTCCTTTCTAAAGAAACTGCAGCGACAGGTCGCAAATCCTGGGCAGTTTCATGAAAGATTTCTTGGAGGTTAACAAAGCTGTCATTTCCAATACACCAGATGACTTTTTTTTTTTTTTTTTTTTTTAGCACTTGCATGTGATTTGCAAGAAGGTTCACCAATTCCACATGCCCTGGCTGCATTGCCAATATCAATATTTAAAAACTAAATACAAAAGAGACAGATGACCTCCTGACCCCAGAAAGCAGGCCTGCAAAACTGCAAGTATCTACTGCACCATGCCCAGGGATCTTTCCTTCTTCCAAATGAACCACAAAATCACACCTGTGTAGTCTGGAAAACACAAATTTATATCCACAAGGAGGAACACCAAAAATCCACTCATAAATGCATATATAAACAACCAACAAGTATTGAAAGTGCCTGCACTTGATGAGAATTGCAAAATCATACCCAGCTCTTAAACTAGTACTGAGTACTACTACTACTGTCTACTACTCTTAAACAAAAATCATACCCAGCCCTTAAACTACAACTGTCAAATTAGTGTAGTAATGTTTCCCCCACCAGAGAATTCACAACTGGTTAGTTTCCCCACCCCCATTGCTAGCCCTTCGCCTTTCACTGAAATGAATAAATAACCTTGGACCTCTTTCCCCTCCTCTGGGAGCTGTTTGGTCTCCCCTGAGGACAAAAGTAAATGAGAAAAATGACACTATTAATAATGTCGCTGCTGAAATGCCTGTACTATACCATTTAAAAAAAAATCGTCCCACTAAGCGTGTCTACATTTCGAGCATATTTACAATCTATAATATAGCTCTGATCTCAACACCAACTCGGCCAGTTTACTCCATTAAGATTAGCCGGTTTTTACTTCTCCACAAAGATGAGGCCAGCTCATCAAAAGAGATTCCCTACTTTGAAGACACTTGCTCCACAGATTACAAAGTCAGCAGTCACCCCATAACTTTTGCGTGATGTATTTTAAACTTTGAAAATAGAGGTAATAGTTGCCTTGCTTCATCCACAATGTTACAAAGGTTGCATATACTCTCTCACACAGTTTCTCTTGTTTGCTGATATTGAGAGAGTTGCAGTTACTGCTGTTTTTCAAAATAGCTAACCTATAAAGCAAAACTATAAGATCATTTTATTTCTACATGTAAACTGGCTTCTGTTACCCATATATACATGCTTTGTAACATATGAAAACAGACAGGTTTTTAAGACAGGTATAGAAAGCTTTGTCCAAAATGGCTAAGTAGTCTTTACATTCTGTATTAAGTATAAAAAGTGCATGACAGAGCAACTCAAACTTTCTGCACCTCTTTCTCTCATTTCTTCTTTGAAAACTGCATAACAATGAATAAAAACAGAATTTCAAAATCAAAACAATACATAACAGAATTGTGCATTTTAATTGTCAGATTAAAATTTAAGAAACAATTACATAATTACAAAGAAAACACAAACAATTGGGCCTAAACAAAATATATGCGCAGCAAACTTTATCTCTGAATGTATCTGAAATTTTAACTACACAAGCCAATAAGTTTCAAAGCAATAATATTGTCAAATTGTGTAATGTCAAAAAGTCCAAAAACAAAGATACAGATGTTAATGGCATCACATTCACTCAGAATTATGCTGCTGTTCAGTCTAACCATATTAAAATTAAATGGATGCCCATGTCTGCTAAAGAATAAAAATTTATTTGGGACCTCAAACAATG